GTCAACTTCGCTTAAAAGAATATTAATTCGATTTAATGAATTTATAACAAAAAATTATAACAAAGATTTTGTTTGCCTATCGTTTGTCCGCCATAGAGCGTATTTAACTACACCTTAGTTCACTCAAGTTTGCTGAACACAAGCGATCCTTCAAAGTGTCACGACGGGTTCCGCATAGTCGCCGTTTATAGTTGCGATTCCACGTATTGCAGATTAAGTACACGTGTTCGACTTGACACGAGTTGCGCGCGAATGCATTTGCTGATCTCGAATTTTTATTCTTCGTCGCGAGCGAGCGTCTTCCGGTTACGCTGATACAATTTCGTCGGGAAGTTTAGACAAAATGTGCCATCGGCTACTTAATCCTATCGTGTCGTGTATATTTTACGGAGTAATTTGTTTCTCGAATAATATGCAGAATAATGCAAATTAGATAACTTTAGTAGATCTTGTGAACGAGCATCGAAATTATGATGGCACTGTATAGTAAATTATATTTAAATATAAGATTTAAGGCTCGATGCAAATACAAAAATATGTATCATTATGTAAATATTATCATTGCGTATGCAGAATATGTAAATAAAAGGTACTATTTCCGGCCTGTATTAAATTTTGTCGCTTTTTCGTAGCTGCCTTATCTTTATTAGTCAGGTTTGAAAGTTCAATATATTTTAATTTTCCGCGATAAAATTCTGTATTGGGAACAAAGGCAGAACTATTGGGGAAAATTATGTAAAAGAATAGCGTCTCTTTTCTATATTTTTTTCTATTCCGTTTTCTCCCTTACAAAAAAGTGTCGCAGGTTTTGAATCAATGAAACTCGATGCTCGATACGCGCTGAATACATGGATATCGAAAAGGTTAAAATAAACGCACGCTATCAACCGCTCGATGCATTCGTGCGTGCATCGCATCGATGCGTCGGCTACATCGTGCATATATAGGGTCGCACGAAAATATCGCACTTCGAATCGAACTAATTCAATTCTAATTCCAGTCAATACTAGTTACAAAATTCGACGAAATTCGAGTGACTTGTCTATCGCCTTTCGGTTTTTTTTTCAATGATTTTTCCTTGCCGCCGAATTTTAATTATTTCACGTCTGTAACATTACACGGGAATTTTAACATGCGAATTTTTCCTTCATTGGAAAATGAAATTAACTATGCATTTAAGTAAGTAACATACATTTCCGAGTTTTTCCGATTCAACCGGCAGTGACTGCAAGAAAAGACGAAAACACGATCGTGATCAGTACTTTCATCATCTTATTGGCTGCGTTCAGTAGAAAAAGCTACTTTGCAACTGTTGTAAGCTTCTTCAATATGATTGGTTTATACATTTAGATACCCATAAGGAACTAAGGGCCAATCATATCAAAGTTTTTGCAACAATTGCAAGGCTGTTTTCTCTGCTGAATACAGCATCGATTCCTACATTGATTAGAAGACATTTATGTGCGAATTTTCAATCTTGGTACACCCAGTATATCGCGTCTACCTGTACAAAAGTGGAAATAAGAAAGAGAGGGACCGAGAGAAAGAGAAAGCGAGAAAAGAGATGAGTTGGCTTCCAGCCGAGCGCGCGCGCTTATAGTACCTTATAAATACACGCTTAATTCGCGGTGTATCCGTGCAGGATATCCTCGGTGTGTATCGTCGTCGGATGCCAGTGGTGTGTACGCGTGTGTATGTGTGTATGTGTGTAAAAGGCAACCTCCTTCGATCCCCACGTGTTGCACGGGGTGAAGGGTGGCGGCGGACCGTGAGTCGAGGCGGCGGATGAATGAATGAATCTTAAGACAGTCGTGAGTGGCGCATTCACGAAACCGCGGGT